TTAACTCTTAATAACAATAGATGGTTAATTATTTGGAATAAAACAAATTAAAAGTACTTTAAAGAAAGACGTATTGAATATTGGACATTTAAGAGCTGTAAAGTTAAATCAATGGGAATAAGACCTCAATGATATTAAAGACCACTTAATTATACAATGATACACCAAATAATCGTTAGAGCCGTTTTTGAAAATTGTAAAAATGTGTATAACCGTAGATATAAAGTGGTACTTCCAATTAGCCGATTTCCAGGAAAAAGTTGTCACATCTAAAGCATACCTATCTTAAATACGTAATATCAGTTTCGTACGACTTTTCATTTTTGAGCAAGACTATTCACAAAACACACAGACCATTTTTTGGGACTTGGTTATTTTGACACAAGGGAACTCAAAACGTGTATATACATGTATGTAAACATAACAAAACTACAGTTAACAAATACAATTTAAAGTTTAAAAAGTTTAGAATAGTTACAGATGAATATGATAGTACAATTGAAATAAAGTTATAAAAATGGAAAGTTAAAGATTTAAAAGGAGATGAGTTAACAGAGACAATAAAATAAAGGTTAATTATTTTAAGATAATAAGCTAAAAAATACATTTTTAAATAATAAAAATTAATATTAATAGAAGGGAAGTTAAAGAGTACAGTGTAAATATTAAAAAGTACAGGCATCATTAAAATTAAATATTAAAGATTAAAAAAATATAAGTTAACAGTTAACAAGGACATTTAAATAAAAGGTTAATGATTTCAGGAATATAATCTAAAAATACTGTTTAAAAATAAAATTAATATTAAAAGAAGAAAAGTTAAAAAGTACAAGAAGAAGAATTGAAAAACCATTATGATTAAAAGAAGAAAAATAAACAGGTATATTTACAATTACAAGATGTGATTAAATTTTGTGGAATATTTTGATTTCCTTAAGGAACAATATTAAAATTAAAATTAAACAAATAAAAATAAAAATACAAGACCCTGGCTTCCAAATAAATAAATAAAGAGAAGCAGTTACTCAGCCAGAAAGGCGAAATTGAAGACCATAGACATTTATCTAGCCTGCATTGATTTGACATGGCCCAGCAAAAATGGGATTTTGGACATGCCCAAATATAATTCTCTGAAAACATAATTATCTTCCATCTTGCAATCTAAGTTACAAAGCCATTCATTTTTATAAAACTCTTACTAAAGTCAGAAATACGACGCCAACGCTTCACAACTCGAGTAGAAAAAAATGGTAACTAAGGAAGTAAAGAACAAAGCTGAAAGGTGAGCTAGCAACGGAGATTATCTCACTTTGGTAAAAGGAAACGGAAGGGAGCAATTAGATAATTATAATTACTCAATCATAATTAACGAAGAAAAAAAAAAGAAAGATAATATGTTTACTAACTGCAGAAAAGTCTTCAAGTCGGTTCTTGTGATCGTGTAGTTCAAGTTAAAGTATAGTAAAGAAAAGAGTATCAGACATTCAGTTGACAGACTGACTAACTCTAATTTCAACTTTTTTTATTTCCTACCTATACTAGGTGAGAAAATTTTTGCGATCGAGTCAAATTTCCAATATGTGGTTTTCGACGTACCTATACGTTTCAGAGCCTCCTGAGTCCGGAAAACACATTTTTAGAAAATGATCTGTCTGTCCATCTGTGCCAAGATTTTCTCGGGAATTACTGAACTGATTTTGTTGCTTCTTTTTCTATTTTGTAAGGTTTTAACTACTGATGCCTGTGACAGAAATTCGGTGCACCATGAGCAATAGTTTGCGCGCAATAAATGACGTTTTTCTATAGACTGTAGTGCGAAAACGGCTCTAATGATTTTGATGAAACTTTCCTATAATGTTCTAATAATTGTCCGTTCAATTTTCGTATATGGACTAAATTCCCATAAAATTCAGGAAAAAGGTTATAAAGAAAAGAAAAATGTTTTGGGGCATAACTCGCTAAGTGTATATTATACGGTAAAATTTATAATAAAACTTTTGAAAGGTAATTAAATTAATAACAAAACAAAAAAATAATCATCGGAATCGAATTAATATTAACAATGATACAGCCTATTCTATTTTCTACAAATGTTTTAATTTTTTACTTTCCTACCTAGGTATACTAGGTAAGAAAAGTTTTGCGATCGGATCAAATTTCAGATATGCAGTTTTCAACGATTTATACGTTTCAGAGCCCCGTTTTTGTTTTTTTTATTCAATTTACAATGTAAGATTACGGGTTCATATCCTGGTGTCAGATAGGGATTAATGAGAGAAAAAAAGATGACTAAGTGAAAGTAAGAAAATCTGTTGCCCGCATCACACAATCTTCAGTATTTCCTCTACTTTTAACAAAAATTATTGTTTGACAAAATTAAGCTATGGCAAAAAGTTTTTGATCAGCAATATCTACCTTAAGTTTATCAAATAAATCGTACTCGAATCTTTGATCAATTTTCAGAAAAATAAATAAAGTTCGTATCCCGGTGTCGAGCAAAAACACGTGGAGCCGAAAAGATGAGATAGAGGAGAAGGTATTGCAGGTACAAGGGCTCGTGTTGGCCGAGCGTATTAAAGCGTAAGCTGTAACATTATAGAGTCTAGAGGCGCTGGTTCGAATCCGGCCTGGATGGGCTGAAATTTATTTCGCGGCGGACTAACAAAATGAATATAAATTATCCTGGTTAGAATAGGTTTGGTTGTACCACTAGAACAACCATAAAGAATACAGTGTTTGTTTTGTGTGAATCTATTATATCCGATCGTCGCTTTGCGGCGAGTAGTGAAAACAGATCAGATAAGATCTAAAAGCAACCAGACTGGAAGGCCCTCTCAGTTATGTAAGATGTCTATGCTAGCATAAAAGGGCGAGTCTATTTTATAAAATTCATATAACCTACCATTTAAATCAAAATACAGTCCACTTCCAAAATAAGTCGAATATATCCTATAATGAACTAATTATTTGCCTTTACTTTGATTATTCGCAAAGTTGCCTAAAAAGTGTGAGTGGATATTGATTTTAAGAAAAAACTTTCTATTCATCCCCCTCATGGATACAAAGCTTCCCTACAATTGGTAATGTGATAGCAAAATCTCATTAACTTCTACATGTTAATCTTACGAAAGCAGAGAGATTATGAACTTACAAAACGTTTGTTGAAGTGGTTGATAAATGTTGATACAAATCAACGACGCCAACAAGCGCTGGTCTGTATCGAAGGCCGATCTCAACCCCAACAGAACAAAGCGACTGTTGGAAGTGAAAGGCTTTTGATGCCGATTCAGGTCCTCGAGCCCACACTTCTCCCTTCTGACGAGAGTTATTCGGCACTTGGTTACTCTTTGTATATTTTTAGATCTGAAGGGAAATATTACAAAATTGAGAAGAGGCGAAACCCGTGGCTGCCAGGTTTCCTTTTTTACTTTCAGTATTTTTTTAAACCAAGCTTAACTAAAAAATCTGGTGCGCATATCACATATTTCTCTGGACAATATGTATAATATTTCGTTTAAAATTATTTTAAAATATCTTCAATGTGATAACATAATAAAGAAAAAGTAGAGTATCATTTGCAGTCACTAAAAAGAAAGCTTGGGGACAAACTTTAAAGCAAATTAGTATCACCTTCAGAGCAGGGTGTTTTTCTTAACCGTACAGCTGTATGCTGCCTTATCTACATCAAATTAAGCAAAAAAAAAAAAAAAAGATTACACAATGATTAATATAATATAAAAAAGATTTAGGGAACCCGAAGATTCGATGCAGATACCAACCTCTGTCATTCCGTGGCACAGACGCCGTTATATCGGGGCGTCTCCCGAGATAAATTGCCTTGTACGATTCATCTTCGGGATCCCAAGAGACGCTTCTGTTTCCCGTTATTATGAAGAGCCGAAATTGCTTTATTCTTCCTACCGACGTATTTCCTGGCATCCTTCCTCTTTCAAGTCATCCAATCCCACCGTCCTTCATACATCTCCGAGCTCCTTCAATTCAAATCCTCTGTTCGTTCCGGCAATACTCGTTCCCGTTCTTCTGATTTATACATAAGGGCCCACCGAACGCAAAAAACGCTGCTTTCGACAGATCGTTCATTATCCGAACCTCATCTCTATGAATCTCAATCCCTTCCCAAATTCGTCAATCCGATATCCTTCCCAATTTTAAATCCAGCCTGTTCAATCATTTCTTATCCATCCAGTCCGCATAAAATTGTAAATAAATAATACTGTAAACATGTATATAAATTATTAGTTCGTTCTTCATTATTTTAACTTCATGTTTTTTTTCTTTTTTTATTATTAACTGAGTAAAATTATAAAGTAACTTATTATTATTTTTTTAATATGACTATTTAATTACTCTGTATTTTTTTTATGTATCTCTGAGGCTTCTTAGTCCATATTTCTGTCTTTCTGTATTATTCTAATGGGACTCGTCCCAGAATAAATAAAATATTATTATTATTAATATTGCTTTTATCTCCTCATCTTCATTGATAAGGGACACGAGGTAGATGAAATTGTTGACCACTTCTATATTACATATATGTACCTGTCTATAGTAGATATTATGTCTGTGTAAAGAACGGAAATATTCGACAAAATACTTTTTTACTTTCCCTTGCGTATATATGTAATATATAATAAGTGTAAGTATTGCGATCGAGAAAATTTTTGAATCTGAGTTTTCAACGGAAATACATGTTTTGAGGTACCCTGAGCCCAAATAACCAAGTCCCGAAAAATGGTCTGTGTGTCTGTATGTTTTTCTTTTTCTTATATTAACGTTTTTCTTTTCTTTTTTTTTCTCTCTTTATTTTGTATTTTTACTTTTGATTAATAATTGTTGTAAATATTTAATTTATTTATGATCACACATATATGCATTTTGTTTTCATGATTTGTTTTAAAGGGACAACAGTCCCAGAATAATAAAATATCACATTGCTTTAATGTAAAAGTAGAACAATTAATTTTACATCTGTGACAACTTTACTCCATAGAGGCTCCACTCCGGGTGAGATGAGACCGTGTCAGCAGAACGGAGGCTTGGCAAGGCAGATTTAAGGAAGAAGGATAAAGGACGAAGATGGCTAAGAAGTGAGAGATCCTCGGAGGAAGGATACGTCCTGGAGAAATGGCAGGTGACAGTGAATTAGTGAACAAACATCTGCAACGCTCATTACATTACATTTTACGCTTTATCAGGTATTGCGTTAGCCCTTATCAGTTTAAAGCAGTCTTCACGGTTTCTAACGAGCGCAAGGCCAACTTAATTACACAAAATATATTTTATAATGTCACGTTAAATCTTTAGTTATTTCAAAAAACAAAGCTCAGGAACAAAATTTTATCATTTTTACTAACCATTTTACTGTAAGCTTTACTTTAATTATATTAATTCAAATACACAACAAAACCAAAACATAACACAACAATATACAGAGTGTCATATAAATTAAGGCAAATATTTAAAAGGTAGCAAGGTAGCAGACATAAAGATCAACAAAAAAGTTCATGTAAATAATTGCCCAAGTTTCAGCAGAAAAATTGGAAATTTAAGATTTGTGTTTTTTTAAGCGAGTAACGTTTTTTGTTGAATAGGAAGTGAAAACTAAAAAACTATTTAATTAAAGTAATCAATCATTGCTCCATAGTAAACTAAACAAAATTTTCTTTAAAATAATGTACAGTTTGTCATTGTTAAAACCATTTGAGCGGACAAACTCAGCTTGGTTGCGTTTAAATAATCTGGTGTGTCCACTCACACGACTTTCCTACCTATTTCAGAACAGTTTTAATATCTTTACATAGTATACATACATAAAGAAAATAAAACTGTGTTAGATTCATTTTCCCGAAAATTTATTCAAGAATAGATTTGAGTACGATTTATTAGATAAACTAGAGCAATGTTAACAAACTTAAGGTAGACCAGTGTAAAAATTTCAATATTAATATTTCTGATCAAAAACTTTTTGTCAAACAATAATTTCTGTTAAAAGTAGGGGAAATGGTGAAGCTTGTGTGATGCGGCCAACAGATTTTCTTATTTTCACTTAGTTATTTTTTTCTCTCATTCATCACTTTCTGACACCAGGATATGAACCCGTAATCTTAGGTGTTTTTCTATCTCAGGGGGCCCTGAAACTTATAGATCCGTCGAAAACAGCATGTCGGAAATTTGATCTTACCGCAATACTTTCCTTACCTAGTATAGGTAGCAAAGTAAATCATACATTATTTGTGATTTTTTTTTTTTTTTATCATCCTTCAATTGTACTAAATTTACCAAACCTTCAGAAAAACGTTCTCATTTAATTAGCTTTAAGTCCACATTAATTCAGATGAAGTTTATTTGGGATGTAATATTCACCCAACTAAGTTGTGTAAAGAAATGAAGTGATTTTCAATCCAGTCACCTTAAAGTACCCGTGTTTTAAGCAAAAATGAATACAGTTAACAGTTGCAAAGCTTTTATTTATTGTCTGAAATACCAGTCCATGTGCTGGGAAAATGCCCCGACAACTCCCTCCTCATAACACGCCGGCACTATAGGGTCAAGTTCGAGTTGATAAGTCTCCTTAGAAAAAAATAATTCACCTGCTTTGACGAGGTCTATTGTATCGACAGCGAAGGCTCTACAAGCTATGCGGACATAGTTGCATTTCTTGGGACAAGAGGGACGGCGCTGATCTTGGACCATACTGTCCGCTTTGAGAGCAATGACCTCGATCAGGCGAGCGAAGAGGAAAGATAAAAGAGAAATTCCGCGAGACCTTCGGAGAGAGAGGCCTCTGGTTTGGGTCTCGCGGAACGATTTCAAAAAGAACACGGAACTTCCTCGAGGAACTATTTGTTGATGTTGGAGAGCTTGCGATATTGACCGAGAATATTATCCTGGACTCCCGGTGAATCATTCATCATCAATTATATATTAATTTACCATGAATTGAGGATGTTTTTATCATTTGTTTATTCCTTTTTAAATTTTTAGCATTGTCTTGTATTTTTGTCTATAGTTGTGGATATATGTGTGTGCGATTAAGTGTTGGATTCTTAGCATTCAATTTTTTTTTTTAAGTTTATGTCATCCTTTTTTTTCCTGGGTATATATGTTTTATATGTACGTATTATTTTCTTTATGTATTTTCATTTTAGTTTTCTATATTTTTCCATTTCAACTATAATTACGCTTGGGAAGATTTTCTGTTTAACCGATAACATATTATTTTATAGCGCTAGTTTATTAATTTAGCCTACTTTGTATATTATAACATCTAAACCAATGCCTTTCTGTTATTACTTTTGTTATATTCTTATATTATTTATTTATTTATATTTTTGTTTCTCTGTGTACCAACATGAGTATGTACGTATATATAGTTCTTTGTTTCCATTAAACTACAAGTAATCCTGAGATTTTATTTTTAATTATCTTAGTGTTTGCACTTTATTATATAAATCACTGTAGATATTATTACATTTTGTATTAAGTTATTTTTTTTTGTATTAGTTAGCTAACTGTTTATAAATTGTGTAGTTATGTATATATATATATTTTTTTTTTTTCTACATCGAAATAATATGTAATTTTGAGAATATCTTATGTTCATTTAATTGTTTCTGTTTACTTTTTAGTGGTTACATACTATTTTTTAAATAATGTATATAATGTTAGAATTTTTATAAGTTAGTTTTTGGCCAGATTTGTATTTTATATTAATTCATCCAACACTGTCATCACCACCTATGCCGATGACACGTGTATCCTATCAGTTAATAACGATCCATCTATTGCATCCCAAACTCTTCAATCACAAGTCTTGAAAAATGGTCTAAAAACTGGAGGATTAAAATAAATTCCAATAAATCCCATCAAATTACCTTCACTCTTCGTCGTAAACCTATGACCTCCTGTCCTACAGTATCCTTCAACAATAGCCCTCTTATCCCTGTCGAACAAATCCGATACTTAGGTCTCCACCTTGACAAACGTCTCACTTGGAACCCCATACCAGACTGAAACGACTAGAAACTTCGACTACTGCAGCACTTACTAGACAAACACTCTAAGCTTTCAATCAATTACAAACGACTCATATATATGACAATAATAAGACTTATTTGGACTTACGGAATTGAGCTTTGGGGCTCCACTAAACCATCGAATTCCTCTAGTATCCAATCCTTACAATCCAAAATCCTTCGTAAAATCCGCAATGCTCCTTACTTTGTCACGAACAAAATCATCCATAAAGACCTTAATTTAATGTTCCGTATGTTTCCGATTTCGCCCAATCCAGATACCTGTCCTTCCATAACAAACAGCAGAACCATCCGAACCCTCTCGTTTCAAACCTTCCTTCCTCCTCGATTCCTGATAATCCTTCGAGGCGTCTAAAAAGAAGATGGCCTCGGGACCTTCTAACATAGAACTTTAATTTGAGTTCTACCAATGGGTAGTTTCTCTTAATGTTGTACATGTCATGTTACCAATATCACATTTACTATAATGTATAAATAAAAAAAAATTAATAAATACAAAATATAATAATTCATCATTGTTATTCTAAGGGGACTTAGTCCCAGAATAAAGATCAATTTTCTAGTCTATTTCTAAAATCAATTCTGAATGTATTCTACCACTTTCCGAAGACCTTTGATACAGTTACGTAGATTATTATTATTTGAAATAAACAACTCATAAGCAGAAGTAATATCATTCCAAAGGTTTTACTCTGTTAGTTGAAAATGCAGTTAACAAACCTTTTTTAAAAAATCTCAGTGCTAATTCAGCCGGAAGTGGATAGGTTCCTGGAGTCCGCATTTAGTCCAGTCGGTCCGGATTGGACATTGTCACTTCACTGGAACATTATGGAGGTAGTGGAAGTTGTGAGCTGGTAGCCTGGAACAATCAGTATGTAAACGAAGCACAACTGCTCCGATCAACAAATCGCCATCGAGATTAAACTGCATTGTCTTTGTCAGTGTTGTATTAGGGGTCGGTTCGCCATAGGTCGATAGTACTATCGATTGCAGCTATTAACGTAAACTATATCGATAGTAGTTGGGGGTATACATCAATGATACTAATAACATCTCACCTTCGTTATTACCAATATGCTAAATACATAGTAAGGGTAAGTATTACGATCGTGAAAATTTCGTATTGCAGATTTAAACATTTCGACATTTCGTGTTCCAAAATTCTCTGAATCCAAATAACGATCTAAAAAGATATCTCTGAATGTGAAAATCATACAGAAACTATAGGTCCTACGAAACAGAAATTACGTACTTAAGGATGTGTATATTTCTGGAAGTCCAGTAACCTAGTATACATCAGGACTACAAAAGATACAAAACATGGTGAAAATGAATATAAGTAGATATAAAATAAGAAGAAGTTGTCTGATAAAGAAATAGAAAGATACAAATTGTATCTTCTATATATATAATACTTGATATGTTAATTACATTGTTACCCACTATATCTCTGATATCATCTTTCTATTTCTGTATCAGACAACTTCTTCTTATTTTATATCTACTTATATTCATTTATTTTATTTTACCATGTTTTGTATCTTTTGTAGCCCTGATGAAGACCTGCAAACGTCAGCAAAAATTAAATAATACTGTTTGTATAATTTAGTATTTATTTGACTCCCCTCCTCCCCTCCCCCGATCAACTCCTCAAATATCACGGTCAACCATCTCGACATCATTAAGAAGAAAAATAGTTTTTCAAATATTTTCTATTTTCTAAAGTTTCGAAGGAAAAGTATATTTTTCATTCGATAATTAGAATGAGGTATTATTAAGTACAACAATTAAAAATCATCAGCTTCATATGACTTTCCAGTGTAGGCCATGGTACAGGTACCTTTTTTTATCAAACTATTGAGATCCGACTAAAACTTCGTGAAGGGTTTCATCTTGTCATAACCTAAAAAATGTTTATCTACGAAATAAAAGTGGAAGGGGGGGAGGAGGATTTTCTGATCTCCAAACCCGACTCAGACATATGGACTATCTCCAAACCTGGCGAGCAGAATCTCATACTCTTTGAGAGGAAGAGTATTAGATTCTGCATAAAATATTCGTATGTTACATTAATAGCGACACATTTTTTTACAGCTTTGAACAAAAAAATATTTACATTTTTATTTTTTTTACATATATAAACTTATCTTAAGACAGAAACACTATGCCAGCAACTTTCCCAGAAGTGTACGGAACAACTTCCCAAAGTGTCTTGGCGATCGGATGAATGGTTTAGTAATGCCTAAAGGACAAACAGACAGGCAGACAGATATACATTAATTTTTATATATATATATAGATTAAAAAGAGAGTTTTTATAGCCAACAATCCATATAATAAATAGGGTTTATGTTATTTTGATGGTCTTAATCAGGTTTTGTATTGATGAATATGACCGAAATTCAAAAATATGTTGTTTTTAAGGTTTAGCTGCATTAAAAATGCACTACAAAAACTTCAATTAATAGCCCAATTTTTCCAAACAAGAATTTCTTTTCGAAGTAGGGCGGTAGGTGAAAGTTGTGTGATACACACACCAGATTTTATCAAATTATCAACATCCGGTTGAAACTCTCATCCTAATCGACAACTCTTTCATTCACGAAAATTATCGGAATTGGGGCGTTTCAATCTAGAGAAGGGGGGCCCATGGCAAGAATTAAATCAAAATTTTTGAGGGGGGCTTATTTTGACGGATTTTTGAATTTTCGAGGAGTGTGAACTTCAACGGAGTTGTGAATTTTTTGATAACTTGACTAGAGGAAAACATAGAACAGACCGCAGTAAGTGTAATTATCTACGATTTTTCTAAATCTACCTTAGCTTGCTCTGTTTTTAAGATAAAGTGATCAATAAAATATCTTAGGTGGAGGGGGGAAGGTAGGTTCTTGCGCCATTAACCTTGGTGGGGACGGGCACCCCTGATCTAGATGGAGATCGGCAAACTTTGTCTATCTACCTCAATTAGATTTTCCATTTGCCAATTTTCTTTCCACTTACACCGTAAGATCATTAGATCACAAAATCGATAAAAAGCTGGCTTACAGAGTTACCGGATCGCTTACCGGCCCTCACATATATCAACATAGCGAGGTTATATTGGCAAAATGTTTTTGTAGAACATCTTTTTACTTTCCTATCTATACTAGGTAAGGAAAGTTTTGCGATCGGGTCAAATTTCCGATATGCGGTTTTCGACGAATCTATACCTTTCAGAGCCCCCTGAGTCCGAAAAACACATTTTTAGCCATTGGTCTGTCTGTCTCTCTGTCTGTCTGTCTGTGCCAAGATTTTCTCGGGAACTACTGAACCGATTTTGTTGCTTCTTTTTTTATTTTGTAGGGTTTTTACTATTGATCCTTGGGACAGAAATTCGGTGCTCCCTGCGCAATAGCTAGAGCGAAATAAATGAAAAACATGTTTTTCTATGAACTGTAGAGCTAAAACGGCTCTAACGATTTTGATGAAACTTTCCTATAATGTTCTAATGATTGTCCTTTCAATTATCGTATATGGACTAAATTCCCGAGAAAATTCAGGAAAAAAAGTTATAAAGAAAAAAAAAATGTTATGGAGCATAACTTCCTAAGTATATATTACACGGTAAAATTTATAATAATAATAATATAATTATCAAATAAATACTAAATTATACAAACAGTATTATTTAATTTTTTGCCGACGTTTCGACCCACTTTGCAGGTCTTCATCAGGGCTACAAAATATACAAAACCTGGTGAAAATAAAAGAAATGAATATAAGTAGATATAAAATAAGAAGAAGTTGTTTGATAAAGAAATAGAAAGATGAGATCAGAGATATAGTGGCTGACAATGTAGTTAAAATATCAAGTATTATATATATAGAAGAT